TAAGATAAAAAATAAATGTAGACATGTGTGGGAACAGGGCAAATACAGAATATCTCTGTACCTCCCTTTCAATTTTTATGTGAATCCAATACTTCTCTAAAACATATAGTTTACTAATTAAAAAAGAAAAAAATCAAACTTATATAGTAATTGGATATTTCCACATAGAATAATTTTGATCTTATACAGTTGTAGCCTACCTCTGTGTAATTACTTTTTGTTAAATTTTATTTACCCCCTGTAAGTTAATATGTATTTATATGTATTTAGCTGTAAATTAATGTTTTTAGTTTATATATATTTAGCTGTAAGTTAATATGTATTTATAAAAACATAAGCAAATTCTCCTTTCATCACTGTCTAATTTAAACATTTTAAACTCTCCAGGTCTTTTCATATCTAGCTTTCTTCAATGTATGTTTTGTTCTATCTTAAAAAAAACTTTCACTGTTTTCGAAACTCAAAGTAACTTATTTAAAGTAGTTAATCACAAACAATACTCATCTCTCCCTAAAGTTTGAATTTACATTTCTGCAGTTGATTGTGACGACTTAATCTCTACTTATGTCAGATTGCTCTTTAATATATGGAAAGATTAAAAAATACATAAATTTTAACTGGGTTAAAGATTTGTGTACACTATTACAGCTTTGTCATTAAACTAAATGAGGTATTAAAGTCTTACAACCACAGTTGTAATAAGATAGAGAACTCAACCATAACTGTACAACTAAGGAAAATACTAATTGACGAGGCCCTCTTTTCAATTGTCCAAAATAGACTTGTTTCGTGTGGTGTTTTTTAATTGAGTTATATAGTTCTGTTTTTTCCTTCTGTCTTTATGGATGTGGAGCTCTTTAACATAGAACTTTCTACTTTATTAAACTTGTGTTTTTTGGTAATTAGGATTTCTTTTTTGAGCCCACAAAAACAATTGTGTAATAAATGTTATATCACTTACCATGTGGTTGATTCTAAATCATTAAATCTCTTCCTTTTTATTATGAATTATACCTGTTAAAAATTGTAACCTGAGAAAATATTTTAAGCAATCATTGAAGGTACTTTTTTCTACTGGTAATGAAAATGTATTTTCTGAAAGGAGATAAAAATTTTAAGTATGGTTATATACTATATGAAACATCTTAATGAAAATTCAGAGACAAGTAACATTCTTTAGTGCTCTTGTGCCTAATTAGCATTCTGGTAACTGGGAACACACCATTGAACAAGACAGATTCCTTGCTCTTTGAATGCACATTATTCATTTTCCCCAATTTTCTGTTTTTCTTAGATATTAACTTATCTTGTTGTTTAAAATAATTTAATTTTCCTTTAGGATGAGTTACATTTAACAAATGACATTTTTAGTAGTTTTCTGGACTTTGTATATATATTCCTTGAACATCATGATTCTTGACAGATTTATGCATCTTAATACTTTAGTAAAGGAAATAACAATTAGGAATACATTAACTTGTATTGTGCTTAAAACATGTTTATCTAATATTTTAGCTGGGAAGTTTTAAGATTCCTTCTGTCGAACATAAGATGGTGGTTAGAAGAATATTGCTTTGATGGATTTCGTTTCGATGGTATTACATCTATGCTGTATCATCACCATGGAATGGGTATGTAACCTGGCGTATTAACAGATGGAGCTAGTGATTTTATTCATTTATTTCTTTACTAAATAAATAGCACCAGGCTTAGGGTTCAGTTTCAGAAATTACAGTGATCACTACTGGTGGCTTCATTTTTACTTGTTACATTGTATGTGTATCATTGTAGTCATTTCTGATCCTTTGTGGCAAGAGGTAAGGTATAAATAGATTTTATAAGAAAGTAAAAGATAATTATTTTCTTTTCAGTGTATTGTCTTAATATTATACTTAACTGGTTGTGTTGGTAGTCGCCTGTTATCTAAGCACTTAAGAGGCTGGCTGAGGCAGGAAATCGCTGTTCAAGGCCTGGACTAAGTAATGATTCAAGGAAAACTCAATAGCAAAACACTATCTCAACAAACTAAACAATTATAATGATAATAGTTTGTTTAATAGGTAGATTTAAGGAAAAGCTTAGGGAATTCATTTGTATAGCATCGTCAGGATAACACTTACAATGAAAAATATGAAAAAATTATACTGATAGCATTTACAATGAAAATAATTATACACAAAAATTATAATTGAGAATGTTAGTGAATGTATGTTTTTCTACATATACACATTGAAGAAAAAATGTATTTTAAATGTGGATTTTCAATTTAAATTAAATTG